AGAGGAGAAATTACCCCTAATCAGCTCTCACTTACAAAAACCATCACAAAACATGGCTAATGGGACCTTTTGACCTCTCTTCTACATTGAGGGATATCTTTGACCAATTTTATCCAATTAATTTTGACCAATCATACCTAACGATCAGCTAGGTAAAACTAGCTGGTTTTCCCAATTTGGGGAAAGTGGAAAAGACACCCTTACAAATGTCGGTTACTCTATACCTAGTTTTATTTATGAAGTAATTTCTTAAGTTAGAAGTCCTACGAAGCCTTTCACGTCAAATTTGCAGGCGTGGTTATTCCCAAATTGATGTATCGATTTTTATTTATAAAATTTCTTAGGTGGCCTTAAAGTTTTGCTCCACCTGTATTTCTTATTTTTTGGTGTAAAACTGATGGACAGCAGATTTGAGCACCATGGCTTATCTCAGTTGGATAGCATACTAGTATACACGTTTTAGTCAAATTTGGTGGTTTGCCGATAACCCATGTACAAATGGCGACGAAAAAATAGGTGGCCTTAAAGTTATGCTCCTGACTGTACTACGGTTTATTTTACTCGAACTTTAGGTTTTAACTTTTATACGACTTTTACAGGATGAAAATTTTTACTTCATTTACAGTTATATATTTACAGAATGCAGAAGAAAAATTTACATGCAAACGAGGAACAAAGTGCTGGTGGTCGTCGTGGAAAGCTCCAACACATGTTCACTCTTTCATCATTTGGTTTTTCTGACTGCTCTCCGCCTGATTCTATAGGGAATTTTATTTGCTCAAAATTGTCAACGGCAAAGAAATCTAATTTCAGTATTAAATGTTTAAAAATCTGCAAAATTATCGCAACCCATCCCGTTGTCGGCTGCCTTTACCTTTGTCATGTCGTGGAATGAGGAATCTAAAGTAAGTTATTAAAAAACGGATATTTTTTTTGTACTTTTATAATAATCGCATATTAATTTTAGGAGTCCAAATTTTTCTCAGATGGTGAACACGACCCAACATTCAGTCCATATTCTGGGCATACTCTTATTCCAGACGTAAAATTATTTCGGGATTATTTTCTAAATACAAAACTCAAATTTGTGGATCACAGTTTGAAAATTCTTTACATATTACTGATTGAAATTTGTAGGTAATTCCGTACCTTTACAAATTCCTTGGGATAAGTACCATTAAAAAATGTCGATTAGTCTGTAAATCGTGGAAGTATGAAGCTACCCCCATTCTAGAGGCGAGGACACTTATCGAAATTCGACTTGATTCTGGAAATAATGATAATCGACGTCGCCAGGGGTGGAGGTGGGACGAAGGAATTGTAGAAAAGCTGGGATTTAATGCACATCTAAAGATCTCTTCATACAAACCAACGCTACCACCCACAAATCTCGAAGCGTTTCCCTGCGTCAGAAATGTAAAGTCAATTTTTGACCACTTTTAGCTCGGTGACGAGCTGCCAACCATCCTGTACGATCTGTTAAAGAAACATTCGCCCACTCTAGAAAAATTTTCTAGAGTTTGGGTTCCGCCGATGAAGAAATGGGTTGGAAACTCCCAGCATTTCCGGTCATGAAAAGCTTCACAATTTATAACAGGAAGACTAAAAAAGTTGGATTTGAATTTGAACGTGGTCCAGTGTCAGGAAGCTTTGGACGGATTGATTATAAACTGTGCTTCCCAGTCTTGGAGATTTTGTGTGTGCACAGCTACGATGTTTCCACTGTGGATGCATTTATTCAGCCAGAAGGTGGAGCATGTTCAGCTGTAAAATCGGTGCGAAAAGTGTGCATAAATCTTTGGTGGTATACACGAACGAACCAATTAGCTAGGCTATGCGAGCGATTTTTGCACGTTTTTCCGAATGCGAGGATTTTGGGCAGTAATCATTAAAGCGAGTAGAATACTGAATATTTTTATACAATGAGCTTTAAATAAATATGTATTTTCGAAGAACATGCATATGTATAATTAGTTCTTCTCCGAGGATGTACCCAATACCCGGCCAGGCCGATAACTCGCCCTACTCTATGCAGGGTATTCCGACCTGGGTTTGAATGGGTTGGGTTTTATTGGGTTTTAATGGGTTTTAATGGGTTGTAAATGAATAAAACCCACTGGGTTTTACCATGTTAAGTGGGTTTTAATTGGGTTTTAATGGGTTTTATTGGGTTTTAATCGAGTTTTACCTTAAAACTATATTCTAAAAGTTAAATACATCTCCTATACGTTAGAAGACGTTATCTCAATTCATTCTAAAGCAGTTTATTTCATTACTATCATAATATATGAAAATTCGGAACAAAGCAACAATTGACTCCATTCTTTAGCATCACAGATTTCAAGTGTTGTAAAACAAAAATAATTTCCGAATAGATACAAATTCCGAATAATTTTTGTTAAATTATTACTTAAAACTATTAAAACCCAATAAAACCCATTTAAACCCAATAAAACCCAATAAAACCCATTAAAACCCAAATAAAACCCAATTAACATGGTAAAACCCATTAAAACCCATGGGTTTTATAATTTTAGAATAAAACCCTGGGTTTTTCCGAACCCTGACTTTATGTGTATTTTTACTTCTCGGACTCGGCCGAGTATTTTCTCCATTTCTTGTCGCTTATAAACAAATTATCTTGTCTGGAAATAAACCTCATAAAACCCGGTTACCCAGCGACCCCAATGATGTCAACAACTTTTCATCAACATAATTGAATTTTCATCAACCTAATTGAATAAATTTTCTAAGCAACAATATATAGACCTTTAGCAAGCATAATATTTATTGCACACGTATTTAGTAATACGTATGTATATAGATATAAACGTGCACATCATTTGCATTTATTACAACTCAACGACACAAGTTACGATACATACAAATGTCTTGAAACATGGGGTACGTGTTAGTTTATTGTTGTTCTTTCCATGAATTCATTTTCATACATACACTGGAGAGCAAATGTGAACGCCCAAAACCACAAGCACAATTTAAATCATAGTTTCTCAGTAAGTACGGGGAATTTTTGAAAGGTCGTTATCTCATTTTGAAGACAAATTAGTACACAAACATTCACCAAAGAAAATTTGTTGTAAGATTTTTTTTCACTCCGTACGGACCCATAGCGTGAAGTTAAGAAATGAGCACCGGTGCAAAAGTCATCGCCACAAACAATTAAAATGATAGCACTTTTAAAATTACTAAAGTAGGATAACAACTTTTTTAATTTTTAAGTACACCTACTATTGATGTATATATAAAATAATTCCACTTCAATTAAAAAAATATATCCCAGAAGAAAATGCCCAATAATGAAACAACAATCGCTATTCAAGATTTGGTCATTCATCACTACGAAAATGGGGGGAAGACGCAACAAGAAATTGCTGAGTTGGTCAAAAAAATCTCGTCAACTGTCCGTGACATGATTTCACGTTACAAATTAACGGGATCAATTGAAAATAGGCGACGAGCAGGACGTCCACCAAGTTTCATCACAGGCGAGTAGAAAATATTTGCTCGAAAAGTGACCAATAATCCAAAACTTTCGTCTCCCAAAATTTCTGGTGAAGTAGAAAATGATGTTAGAAAAGTATCAAGTGGTTGGGCAAGCTGGGGAATATCGAAACTCAGTGCTCAAAAAAATTATAGAGCCAGGAGGAAGCCTACATATCAAAAACGCACCAATAGAAAATATTAAAATTTGCAAGGCAACACACAAATAAAGATTAAAATTTTTGCGAATCACTCTCCTGTGTGTTTAGAGTAAATTTAGTGTTTTATGGTCGGATGGAAGGGTTTGAGTATGGAGAGAAGTCGGAGAATCTGTCAAACTAAAAAATCTCAACACCATCTTAAATTATGGCGGAGGACGCGTCATGATATCTGGGTGTTCAGCTTCGCGGGGGCTGGTACGCACGAATTCATCAATTCTACCAAGCACCAAATTTTGTACCACAACCTACTAAAGAGAAATGTTTAACAATCAGCAGCAAAACTTCCCTTTGCAGGGTGCTACACCTTTCAGCAGGAGCGCGAACATAAACGGACGGCCAAGTCCACCTGTGAATTCTTGTGACCAACAAGATTAATGTTCTCGAATCGCATCAGGAAAGACTGAATCTCAATCCTTCTGAGCAGAGGTGGGGAGCACATATATTTAGACATCCGAAAACGCTCAATTTCGAGCATAGCTGACGTGAAAGCAGAAATCTAAGCCCCCTTGAGTGACGTCGACCCTGATATCCCTCAGACATTGGTTGCGTCCATGTAACGTCGCTGATAGGCTGTCATATTTTCAAATAGAGGTCCAACAACGTACTAAGTGTTAATGCTTTCATTTAAAACTTAAAATTGTAGAAATATTAAATGTTTTATTCGTTTTGGCGATCACTTTTGCACCTGCCGTTTTTACTTTTTATCTAATCTACTCACTTGTGATGAAAACTATAAACTTTTAAGAAGACTCTTTGATACTTAGTTATTGGATATTAAATTGTCTACAAAACGCAGAAAAAAATTCTGGAAAATCTGTTATTTTCAAAAAGTTATGAGAAATCAAACGGCAAACTTTCTCTTGGGCGATGACATCTGCTCTCCAGTGTACACGAAGAATAACTCCGCTTTGCAAATTTTTTGAACGACATGTCAATCTCTTTTGCAGCATTTTCTGGATCGGAGCATATCTTTTTTATACGTAATGCTTGACAATACGACAGAGATTAAATGAGCCATTTTGGGTGATTCGATTCATAATGTAAGAAACGCAGTAATTATTTTATGAATTGAGTAAAGTAAATATTTATGAAGCAGTTGTACAAGTATGAAATGGCTACAAATAATTGTATTGTACTGTAAACTGGTTACAGCGGCGATATCATGAAGGTGGCTATGAGGACGATATACATGTGTACGTATCGGAAGGGCGATGAGAGTTAAGAAGGTTGACTAATGACTTGTGTTAAGAAATAAATCTAAAATTTCGAAACGTTGGATGCAGTGTCAAGTTTTTTATTAGATAGTTTGTATGTAAGTACATACATATACTTATACGTCTGGTGAAGGCAGGGTACTTTTCCGTTTATATTTTGAAATATTTATGTCAATTTGACCAGCCAATAGCTACTAGTTGCTTTAGCATTACCAATACTTTCTCGTGGTACGCACAGTTGTTGGGATAGTTACGGGTGTCGTTCGAACCGTCGTAGTTGTCGTTGGGACCGTGGTTGTTGTCGTTGTCGCTGGGGCTGCCGTTGTTGTAGTTGTCGTAGGAGCTGCCGTTGTCGTTGTCGCAGGTGCTGCCGTTGTTGTTGTCGCTGGGGCTGTCGTTGTTGTAGTTGTCGCAGGGGCTGCCGTTGTTGTAGTTGTTGCAGGGGCTGCCGTTGTCGTTGTGGTCGCAGGAGCTGCCGTTGTCGTTGTAGTCGCAGGAGCTGCCGTTGTTGTAGTTGTTGCGGGGGCTGCCGTTATTGTAGTTGTTATCGGGGTTGCCGTTGTCGTGGTAGTCGTAGGGGCTGCCGTCGTTGTCGTAGTTGCAGGGGCGGCTGTTGTCGTGGTAGTCGCAGGGGTTGCCGTTGTCGTGGTAGTCGTAGGGGCTGCCGTCGTTGTCGTAGTTACAGGGGCGGCTGTTGTCGTGGTAGTCGTAGGGGCTGCCGTTGTCGCGGTAGTCGCAGGAGCTGCCGTCGTTGTCGTTGTCGTAGGTGCTGCCGTTGTTGTCGTTGTCGCAGGTGTTGCCGTTGTTGTAGTTGACGCAGGAGCTGCCGTTGTTGTAGTTGTTGCTGAGGCTGCCGTTGTTGTAGTTGTTGCCGGGGCTGCCGTTGTTGTAGTTGTTGCTGAGGCTGCCGTTGTTGTAGTTGTTGCCGGGGCTGCCGTTGTTGTAGTTGTTGCTACAGTCGTGGTAAAAGAAGGCAGTCCAGTAATTGAACCAATTGTCGTTGTGGGTAACGTCGTAGCAATCAGTGTTGTCACAACCGGCGGGATAGTTACTGGTGCCAATGTTGTTGTCGTCGTAGTTGTTGCCGATCCACCACCGCCACCGCAACACGGCGCACCAGGCGCATAACATGCACATGTTTGTAAATCATTCGAGCATTCCGAGTTAGCAATACCCAGAGCTGAACACCAAGTCTGACATGGAGTCACATTACATCCAGCTGCTACCTTGAAAAAAACGTAGTCGTTTGTACCCACTTTGGCTGCATAGTACTCATTTCCGTTCAAAATTCCTGTGTTGATAGTCAGTTATTTAATTAATTTTTCAGTTCGCTGACGTTGACAAATTGTTCACGAAGGGTAATATGGTTTATTTTCAAATATGACACTGAAAACCTCAAAACTAATAATTCGAACTTAATAATGTAAATCTATATATTTTTACCTGTAGTTTGTGATACACCTTTTTGTGTCAACCCCAATATTAAGATGAACATTAAAAATGTAACCATTTTTACTCCCGTAAATCTCCACTAAATTTTCCGTTACTAACCGAACTAATAGAAACTGTCCAGGTTAATGGGAACCTATCCAAATTTATCACGCCACCATAAATTTCAAGGTTCCAGTGATAAATTAATATTTGTTATACGTGGCGAAACTTATTGTAACCACAGCTGCTGCAACACTTGCTTTGTGTATGTGGTGGCTACATAAAATCACAGAAATTCAAGGAATCTATGAATTAAATTTTTGCACAAAAGACTTTTAATCAATTGGAAAATGTATTTATTCACAGAGCAAGTGGTTTAAAGTAAATACTTCTATAATTTATATAATTCTCTTAGATAATTACTTTTTACTAGGAGGTGGATACTTTTACATGGTAAAATGTATTCCAAAAAATTTTATACGTTAAAATCTCCTACATATCTCAGGATTTATGTATTTAATGATTTATAAATTTATATCCGGGTTCGAAAACCAATTCCAATTTTGGAAATTCCTATGTGCAGACTTTCGTGTTTGTTCACGTTACGAATTGCAAATGCATGCAGTTACCATTTTGAATCGACCTATATATGTACAGTATTTTCAACGAATTATTTAACTGCTCCGTGCACGCCACAAAACTATACACTTAATCTTTATTAAATTAAATACATACATATGCATACGATGTATGTATTTAGCGGTGGGAAATGTTGAATTTTTATGTGAAATGTGAACCTGAATTTTATGTGAATTTTTATTGTTACACCAAAATTTTTATGTGAAAGAAGCTTGTTTACACGTACATAGTCCGACCATAAGTTCCCGTGAATGCATTTCCGGTGATAAAGCCCAAAGTATTAGAGCTATCTGATAGAAATTTTTGTGGATGAACAAGGTATTAATCTTGTTTAGAAATCATAACTTCGTTTTCACAATTTCCTCCACGGGCTTGTACACAAGACATAAGTCGTGGCGAAAACTGCTCGATCGCGGCACGCACGGATTTCCAGGGAAAAGCGCCAGATCTTCAGTAAGTGCGACCTCAGCCCTTCCACACTTGGGTGAAATTTAGAGCATACTTGTACCTATAATTTTGACCACCAGTCATAATTTAGGGGATTAAGGTCTGCAGATACTGAGCACCGTTCTACGGATGAAAAAAAGTCATGAAAATTCGTCTGAAGCCAGTTTTGGACAATTTTGCACCTTGCGCATGAGCAGATTCTTGTTGAAAGGTCCAATGGCGATTTTCGGAGGGTCCAGGGTTCAGGTTATTAACGTTTGTCTCTAGGACACTCTGAAAATAATTCTTGGCTTCAACTTGTACCCTTTGCGGTAAAAAACAGAGATTTCATTTCTCCAGCCAACTTGCTCCCATTCACACCACGGTGATGACTTCGTATTGACTTCCGCATACTTAAACGGATGTCAGACTTCTGTACAACAAATATCTGGCCTTTTTTTCTATTAAATTTTTTGCCAACGGTGAAAAGTCTGAAATACTTTATCGTTGATTTATCGTTGTAAAGATAAGTGGGTAGTTTCAATTAAACCGTCATAATTGGATCACTGCACAAGTTATGCCAGTGAGTTATAGTTAATTATTAGGAGGATATTAATTTGGTTATGAGGATGGATACATAGTGGGGATTTTTTGGAGTATCACATGTAATTATATCTTCAAATCCTTTATTTCTTGAGTTACCGTGTTCATGTGAAGGAACAAGGGCTGTAGAAGCTGTACGGGGTGATAAAGGTTGCACATTTTTCATATTGTAACAAATGAGTTCTAAATTCAGAATGCTTGGAGGAATTACGAGAAAATATTTCCCTAGCAATGTCAACGGGCAAACCTTTAATTAAAGAAGCAAGTAGTCATTTTTGGATCCATTTTAATCAAAATGGGAAGCAAGGTGGATACACATTTAAGGGCGGAACAACCACAAGAGTTATAGTTGATTTATCTTACCTTTGCCGATAAGGTCGTTGGACTCAATCGCCTGTAAAGGTTCTTTCAAAACCTCATCCCGATTTGACTTCGAAAATCATTACTAGCGGGTGATAGTCTTCTCGTTGCATTTCATTTTATCAGAATCAACAATTAATCCTAATTTATTTTCGCTATTTTCCAGAAAGCAATTGGTATTATTAATTCGAATAATTGCTTCAAATTGCACGTACAGTCTTCCCATGTCAAATCGAATCTTTTAATTTACATATTTATGTAGGTTGCATGGATGTATCTACAATGGTATGTAGAACACTGTTTGAATCAAAACTTCGTATTCCTGTAACAGGAATCCTGTTATAGTGAGTAAATTTGTCCCCATATTACACAAATGGCCAACTCTCACCCATCCCTGAGACTAAATATAGAAATCCCAGGGAACTTTGTACATTGATACAATCGTATAATTAGATGCATTGCCTAAAATGAATGAAAAATTTGTCAATGTTTTATATTTAGATAAGACATCCTAAAATGAGGAATTATTTTGTAATTTAAATTGCCTCAGATATCGTAAAAAACGAAAAGTTAAACCCAGGCAAACCCTGTACTCCTTCCTTTGCACCTATTCCGAGACAAAATTTCAGATAAGGGAATCAAAAGACAATTAGCGCGTTGTGGTTGATTATTCTTTACGTAGTAAATATGTGTCACATTAGAAAAACAATTTTCGTACTAATTAGTACGCTATGCCAACCAGTATTAATGGATTTAATCGGTTGGTTTCCTGCTAAATAGGATAAATGTTTATGAAAATTGTTAATTTATGTATCTAATAATATGCCTCCAATTTTTTCTGATTGTAGTAAGAATTAAATTGAAATTTTAACCAAGACAGGCACCAAGCTATTGGTTCAGAATAACTGTTATTCTTCATAATGTAATAGAATGAATAGCGAACAAATCATAGTTTCGTGTGCTTATTGATAATCTATTGTTTTTAAAACCAACTCAACCTCCGTTTCAGAAATGAAAAACATGTTGAAAAGTATTTGTAAACATACATTAACATGATGATTGGTGCGAATTGTGTGGTGGTAGAAAGGTATGCTAGCAACTTCGGCAATCTTTACGGGACTGTTTATTATGCGGATGGGGATATCTAAACGAATACTGTTCTATATATTAAAATGGCTAATGGTTAATTCGTGATGATAATATGTAGATATTGAATTTAAGGGAATTACCAATTCTCGTTGAGAAGCGGTTAGACTAGAGGCTAATGTGGTTAGTTCAAGGCGAACGGTTTTAGCAGATACAGCAGCCAAAGAAACTCGACCTGAAGCATAGTCTGATTGAATATTTTCGAATTGGAAATGTTCCAACAAAGGATAAACAACTTCGGATAAACGATCTACGAGCAGATACGGACGTAGATTTCCATCAATATAAATCTTAAGCATGTTTGAATAATAGATAGGGCCTTGAAGAAAACATTGGCGAAAATGATTAGTAATAGAAGATATATGTACCTAAATTTAGTTGATGCTGGTCAATGTTTATTGAAGCTTCTCGTTCGGAAAAACTAAGGTACTGGTGTTGGTGGTGCTGATGTGGTTGTGGATATTTATATTTTCGTTTTGTTACTTGAAGGCCTGTTTGACTTTAACCGCCGAATCATCCAATCATTGGTCAGCAGATCCCAAACTGTCACTCATGTTTGGTAACACGTCTCTCCGTGAAATTAAAAAGATGCTAAGCAAACTGTCGTTTCTGGTCCTTAATTATGGAGGTGAATTTGTATTAAAATTTATGTACTAAATCTTTCTTCGTAAAAACCGACACTCACAACATCCTCGTTGGGTTTTATTTCGACAGGAATGTAAATTGTAACTGACATTATCAGTACAATGAATGACTATCTCACATCAAAAATAAATTGCTTAAGACTGAATTACTTTTATAAATATGTATAGGGTCTCATTTAATGGGCCAGACTTTTAATTGAAATCACATAACTAAATATATTGAAATTGCATAACTTGAATTTCCAGTACTTTATATGCCTTAAAACAACCTCTATAACTGAATCCATCAGACACAGATTTGCATAACTTATGCATTTATTTATATCCAAAAAACCGTTAAGATCGTGACTTTTCAGGTGAATAATACAATCTCTTGCTTTGCAAATTAATAGTAAACCACACTACCATAACCTAAGAGTGCAAAGTAGCAGAAAACCGAACACAATAAGGAATTTTGCAACTATTTTACTGTAATAAATCTTGCACAGTCAGGCATTGATTTTGATTTCTCGGTATCACAGTTGCTACAGTTTGGTATTAAAATTATATCGTTCCGTAAAACTTTCCTACTGATATGGTAAACTTTAATACCGAGCTATTACTACACGATATCAGTACCACTTGTATAGAGTCATATCTGAATACCGCTTGGTATTATTGGGACTTGGTATTATTGTGGTATACTGGATTTCTAAGATTGTTTGATACAGAATATCTTATGACACTCGACATATGACCTCCAACTGCAAAAAATCTTAACTAAAGCATCGACAAGGAACAAGCTCGTTTAAAAAGTAAGTTAGGGTGCCTGAGTTTCGCTGTCTACTATGTAAATAGCCCCACTGGTATGCCTGCACTTATATGTACATCTATATCCATTTAATTGGAATTGAAATAATCCAGAAAGGTTTCATCCTGAGGGATAAAGCCGTGACTGTTGAGACAAAGTGATGTGGGGGTCGCTCTGCGAAGGCAAAGAGGCCATTACATACTTGACTAAAATTATTTACGAAATATTTTTAAAAAATAACTGATATTTTCTTTAAATTTCTAATGGTTAATTGTTTAAATTGAATGAAATGTATGGTTTTTAAAAGTCTGGCAGATTTCAATTTTACAGTTTTTAAATTGAATTAAAGCACTGGAAATTCAAGTTATGCGATTTCAATGTATTTAGTTATGTGATTTCAGTTAAAAGTCTGGTGGATTAAAAATAACCCATATGTATACAATTACATAGATCTAATTATGTATGTATACACATTTTGTACATATTTGTTTATTCATGCTCATGTTCAACCTGTTCTGGTAATCATGGTTTTTGACCTTCACTTTAAGGATAACAGCGTAGAGTATTTGTGCAAAACTGCTATGTATAACACATACATATCTTCTTGGGTTTGGTAGCGCAAGGTTTGCAAAAAAGATGTGTTTTTGCAAAGTTTAGTGTTCTTATTGATACAGTTTGTACATTCGAGTTTAATTTCAGATGTAATAATAATTAGTGGGGCTGGTAACTTACCAGTGGCGACGTTTATTGTAAATGAAAAATAGACTAAGCATTTTATTGAAAGCGGATGCGAACATAATGCTAGAATCGATTTGTAACATGAAATAGTTCCGCCGATAAGAATAAGAAATCTGCAAGTATTTACTTTTATGTGAACTGAATATTGACGCATAAAATTTGCAAATTGTTAACATATGTGTGTCTATTACTATTTACATATTTCTACTACTCATTATTGCATATTTATGACTGATAAGAATTTATCCCATGTTATGTACATGAATCATGTCCCGGTTTTTCCTGGACAAGTTGTAATAATCTTAATGAAAATAAAGGGTTGTGAGTCCCAAAATGATAACCAAAAATAATTGTACTGTCGAAATCGGTAACGAGAACACAATTATTGGGTATATTTGCATGTGATTTTGATTTTAGCGTTGCGAAATTGGGCTTAAATTTATTAATTCACGCACAAAGGAATATTCATAATCAAGCGAATAATTTATTTTGCACACCTTTAGTTAATCCTATAGCACCTTCATGATTAATTTTTAAAACATATTTA